ACACATTTGTACACAAAGTATTTATTTATTGCAATGATTGAGAAAACCCCCAGCCGTGGTCTACATTTACTGGTAATACATTCGCATGTGTTCGACATTCCATGGATGTTGCTGAATCTTTCCAACTTTGTCTTCGATCCAGTAAGTTCCAGGTCGAATTTCCCTCTTAATACGGCAGGGTCCTTTCCAATTAAGTCCCAAGGCTCCTACCCCTAGCTCTTTGGAGGACAACAAAACTCTTCGAAGTACCAGATTGTTTATTCGGAAGGATCTCTTCTTCACCCTAGCATTATAATACCGGGCCATTTTCCTCTGGTACATGGCCATTTTGATCTGGAATCATCCCTCCTTTCTTCAAGGAGATCCAATCTACATCTTCTTGATTCATCATTACCTATCTCATTGAAGTGTATCCTCTTGGGCCGGAAGACCTACCTCAAGGGGGCTCATGGCTTTTGCTCCATATGCCATGGAAAACGGGGTCTTCCTAATGGCAGTTCGAATGGTTGTTCTGATAGCCCATAGAACTTAGGGTATTTCATCCACCCCAAGCCCCTTTTGATGCATCAAGTTTCCTTTTCAGGGTATACATGATGGTTTTGTTTACGGCCTCAACCTGCCCATTTGCCTGAGGGTGATGTGGGGAAGAGAAGTGTTTCTTGATGCTCAATTCCTCGCACATCTACTTTACTTTCTTGTTATCAAATTGCCTATCGTTGTCTGATTCAATTGAATGTGAGATACCAAACCTGCAAATGAAGTTCTTTAAGACGAACTTGGAGGTGTTGGCCTCAGTTATATTTGTAAATGGTTCAGCTTCCACCCATTTTGTGAAATAATCGATAGCGATAATGACAAAGCTGTCGCTTCTTCTTCCTTTGGACAACGGCCCGATTAGGTCAATCCCCCATTTTACAAATGGCTAAGGACTGGAGACCACATTCAATCCCTGTGAAGGCTGCCTCTGTATAGTGGCAAAACGTTGGATTTCTCTAAGCACAGAGTTTGCTTGTTCTTCTCCAATGCATCTCAGTAGGGATAGAGAGTATCCGCGTTTATACAACACATCGTCTTGGAGGATGAAGTAGGCAGCCTTTCTTCGTAGCTTTTGAGCTTCTTCCTTCTAATGAGGTAGGATCTGATCCTTTAGATAGGATATGCTAGGTTTCATCCAGAGGGGTGCACTATGTATCCACATTACCGTGTCACTGACTTCCGTTGAAGGCTTGGCGAGATGCTCAATTGGAACCACAGTAAGTTGTTCTAAGTCTTTGCTACTTGATAATTTTGACAATGCGTCAGCATGAGTGTTGTAGGACCTTGGTATCTTTATCAATTCGAACTTTTCAAATAAAAGAACGAAGCTCATTACCAGCTTCAGGTAAGCTGCCATAGATTTGTCCATGACAGAATAATTTCCATGGACTTGGTTGACCACCAATTGGGAGTCACTGCTGATTATGAGCCTTTTTACTTGTAATTCCTTTACCAGTTGGAGACCAGCTAGAAGAGCCTCATACTCAGCTGCATTATTGGTTGCTTTAAAGCCAAACCTCACCGCAGAAGTGAGTTTGTACCCTTCTGGACTGACCAATATGATTTATGCCCCTGAACCAGTCTCTCCGGAGGATCCATCCACAGAAAGCCTCCATATCTAAGGTTCGATGGGTTCCATTTCTTCTTCATTATTTGGTGCGAGGGTGAATTCTACCACAAAATTGGCTAGGGCTTGCCCTTTGATAGTCGTCCTTGGTTTGTAACTGATGTCAAACTCACTAAGCTCCGAAGCCCATTTAAGCAGTCTTCCTGAAGCGTCAGGTTTTTGAAGCACCTATTTGAGGGGGTAATTGGTTATCAAGTGTCTGCTATGAGCCTAGAAATAAGGCCTCAGTTTTCTCGAGGCTATTATTAGGGAGAAGGCCAACTTTTCCATGTTAGGATATCGTGTTTTAGTGGCGATGAGCGCTTTGCTGACATAGTAAACTGGTAGCTGATGGTTGTTTTCTTCCCTTATCAGAATTGAGCTTGCTGCCTCGGGGGTTACTACCAAATATAAGTGCAATACCTCATGGTTTGCCTGTTTTGGAAAGAAGAGGCACTTGTCCTAGGTACTTCTTTAATTCCTTAGGGCCACCTCACATTCTTCTGTCCATTGAAACTTGTTCCCTCTTGAGAAGGCATCCTTGAAGCTGAGGAGCTCATGCCCAGCAGTTGAGTCTACAAGCTGGTCTATCCTTGGGATTGGAAAGCTGTCTTTTGGGCAGGCTTGGTTTAAATTCGAGAAATCGATACATGCCCTCCATTTCCGTTGTGTTTTTTTACCAGAATTCGGTTGAAGACCCATTTCGGATACAAGGACTTCCTAATGAAGCCATTGTCAATAAGTTTCTTGACTTTATCCTTCAGAGCTTTATATCTTTCTAGATTGAGGGCTCTTCTTTTTTGTCTGTGAGCCGTGGCTTTCGGATCAATATTCAGGTGGTGGCAGTTGACCTTTGGGGTCAACGCCTATCATGTCGCTATGCTTTCAGGCGAATACATAAAGAGGAAGTTTTTCAAATGGTGGATTGAGGTCAACGCCTATCATGTCGCCATGCTTTCAAGCGAATACATGCAAAAATGGTGGATTGAGGTGCTCGCCCATAATTCCTTTAAGGCGGGTCTTCCAAGCACCTCATGATAGGCAGATCAGTTATCCACCACAAGGAATCCCATAAAATGGCAAGCGATTTGGGGTTCTACCCTTATCTCTATTGCTAGAGTGATCTTGCCTCGGAAGATAATACTATCCCCTGTGAAACCATACAAGGGGAAACTTACTGTGGTAACCTGTACATAATGTGTGTATGGTGGAGCCTACAGCACTGTAGCGTAGGCCCCACCCTTACTCACATTATGTACAAGTCTATGTATTAGTAGCATTGCTCATATTTTTTTTTGAAGAATAGATGATTAAAAATAAAGATTTTTTTACATAATATTATTTTATTAAAAAGAGAAAAATATATTATAATTTAATGGGATCAAATTGGGCTAATTTAACACACCATAAAAAATGTAGTAGTCAGTGAGCCACCAACATTTACCTCAAAAGTAACACCTACTAGTTTTCACCCACCTACTTCTTTTACACGGATTATACAGGTACATAATTATCTACACGTTGATGATATATCATTATATTAAAATTTAACTCATTTTCTTCGCTCTCTCAATTCACAATTGGTTTATTTTTCCTTCCCCGTACATCAATGTGCAAAAGAATATGTACAAGTAACATTACGATTTATCGAAATCCAGAAACGTAAAAAGAAGAAATACACTACTTGATTTTGATTGAGAGAAGAGTTTGAGTTTCGAGGACATGCCGGCATTCTTAGTCTCTTAAATTAATGAAATTGCACATTAATTTTTACCAAATTCCGTTGAAACTTCACACAAAGACTTTAGTCCGCATGCAAGATCCAGGAAAGAGAAGTCTGAAACCAAAGACCGAATTATTGCGCTTGGAATAAAGTCTTTATAAGGACCCTCTCTTCACTTTCTAGCAGCATCTAATTATTATTTTTTATTTTTCTGAATATTTTTGAAGGCTTGGGTTGTTTCCTCATTTGCAATTATTCATGGAGTGGGTGAAAAGGAAGATAACGTTTGTGAAAATGAGGAATGAGAGGTCGAGTTATCTTCTCCGTATCGATTTCATATTGAATATCCTTTAAGTGACAAGCATCTACGAATGAAGTAAAAGTTAATGACGATATAAAAACAACGTATTCACATTTCAAAAAACTTGTAATGAGTAATAACAAATCCTATTTGACCTTTTTTTTCTTGCATTATTTATCTAGGAATCGGTAGGAGTAGGACCACATATTACTACAACTGAATTTTAGAAATGTTTTATTTAATTTAAGTTTAATTTATTGGTACAATATTTTAATTTCTTTAACTAATAAATCTTTAAATTTTCTCATTATTTAAGACTATCTTCAAGTCATTAAATAGGAATTTAATGGTGAAGTGAGAGCTATTGAGTATTGGATGACAACTTTTCTTTTTCATTAGTAAAACGTGCATTGGATCATTATTTTCGACTTATCTATCCATTTAAGGTCTATATGTTATTTCCTTTCTTTATAAATTAAAAAAATACTTACTTGTAAGTAAACTTTTTGACCTTAGGCAAACGTGCTCATCTGGCTAAACTTAAAATTTAACAATATATTTATTTCTAAACATTTCTTTTGAAAAAGGAAGGAGGATGATATTAATTTAACACACTAGGCCCCTGTTTGGTACAAATTTAAATTAAAATTAAAATCAACAATTAATTTTAACCACGAATTTTATGAAATTCACAACTTTTCAACTACATATTTCATCAACTTTTGTCAAAATTAGTAAAAATTAATTTTAATCTCGACCAAATGGGGGCTAAATAAAAAGTGTAGATGTTTATTTACACATTGATGATATATCAATATATTAAATTTTAACTCATTTTCTTCCCTCTCTCAATTGACAATTGGTTTTTTTCCTTCCCGGTAAAAAAAATATGTACAAGCAACATTACGATTTATCGAAATCAAGAAACGTAAAAAGAAGAAATACAAAAGATTTGATTTTGATTGAGACAAGAGTTCGAGTCTTGAGAACATGCTGGCATTTTTAGTCTCTTGAACTAATTAAATTACACAATAATTTTTACCAAATTCTGTTGAAACTTCACACAAAGACTTTAGTCTGCGTGCAAGACCCAGGAAAGAGAAATCTGAAACCAAAGACCGAATTATTGCGATTTTGTCTGTATGCTTGGAATAAAGTCTTTATTCAGATTTTTTCTTTTTTTAAAGATTTTTGAAGACTTGCAATTATTCATGGGGAAGTGCTACGTGTACATAGGTGTACACATAGGGGTTGACATAATGTGAGTAGGGTGGGACCCTCGCTACAGTATCGNTTTTTGAAGACTTGGGTTGTTTCCTCATTTGCAATTATTCATGGAGTGGGTGAAAAGAAAGACAAGGTTCTTGAAAAGGAGGAATGAGAAATTGAAATTATCGCCTTGGTATATTGAAAATGGAGGCAAGCTGTTAGAAGGGCTTATTGCTTCCTCTAATGATAAGTATAACATTCCTTATCGTGTCTTTACCGTTGAAGAACTTAATAAAGCAACAAACGTCGATTTCCCTAGTATACATTATATGCGTGATTTAACAGGATATTACATCAACGGCATTTTTCAGCAACGGTCTATTCTGGTGAAGAAGTTCCAATTTTTTGGTAATGGAGACAAATGGGCATCCTATGCTGTCAACGACATAGTAGTCACGGTGCTGATGAACCACCACAAAAATGTTATGAAGGTCTTGGGTTGCTGCTTAGATTTGAAAGTATCTGCTATTATCTATGAAATCGGGATCAATTATGGACTTCTGTTAGACCTTCTTCATAGAAGGGAAGAGAGGGATAATATTGGTAGATCACTCTCTTGGAGTAATCGACTGAAAATTGCAAGAGACGTTGCAAATGCTCTTGTTTAT